TCCTGACCTCAGGTAAGCCACACGTCTCTGCCTCCCAAAGTTCTGGGATTACAGGTGTGAGTCACCGTGCCTGAATGAATTGTGTCTTTCAAGGAACTGGCCCATCCAGCACCATTTAAAAAAATATTATTCTATCACTATTGATTTATCTTGAAGCCTTTGTTAAAATCAACTTATTATATATGACAACATAGAAAACAATGTCTTGATTTCCAGAATTTTATAGTAATTGTTGAAATCAAACTTACATTTAAGTTATCCAGCTTTTTCTTTTTCAAAACTATTTTGGCTACACTGGGGTCCTTTTGCATTTCAATACAGATTTTTAGAATCAGCCTATAAGTTTCTGCAAAAAGACTACTAGAATTTTAATTAGGATTTCATTTAATCTCTGGATCAATTGAGAAAAAAAGTGACATTGGAACAATATTAAGTTTTTCAATCCATAAACATGTTATATCTCTCCATTTATTTAGGTCTTTAGCTTCTTTCAGCAATGTTTTAAAGTTTTTATGTATATCTAGCACATTTTGTTAAATCTGTCCCTGGGCATTTAGTGTTTTTGAAGATACTGCTTTTTTAAATAAACTGTCTTTTTAGAACAGTTTTGATTTACAGAAAAATTGAGAAGACAGAATAAGGAACTCTCATATATGCCTTCACCCAATTTCCTCTATCATTAACACCTTATATAAGTATGCTATGTTTATTACATTTAATGAACCAGTACTGATACATTATTAACTAAAATCCATAGTAGTTGTTATTTTCTCTAATAACAACTTTTTCTGTCTCAGGATCCCATCCAGAATACTACATCACATTTACTTGTTAGTTCTCCTTAGGCTCTGGCTGTGACAGTTCCTCAGACTTCCCTTAACAGTTTTGAGTGGTATAACTGATGACAGGCCAGAAGTCACCACATAATAAACAGTGGATTCATGTTAAGTAAAAAGTATCCAATCTGGCATTCCAAAATATGACTCTGACCTTTCCTTACAGTTTCATCTAACACTACTCCTTTATATTCACTCCACACTCCAGCCAAACTAGTCAGCTGTTGCTCCCTGAAAACACCAACAATCATCTTTCATTTATGACTGGTGCTGTGAATGGAATGTTATTCTATACATATCTCTGTCTGTCAAAATCCTAGCATACCTTAAGGTTGATCTCAAATGACACAATCATCTTGAAGCCTGTTTTGAGTCCCACAATTAAATAAGATCTCTTCTCTATGCAAATACCTGACACATTTGTTAAAAGACATTCTGCTTCCATTTTCTCTTTATAGATGTGTTACTCTACAGTAAATTTTTTCAGTTTCTATTTTAAGTAATAAATAACAATAATAAGCACTTTCTTCTAACCAAGAACCCTAAGAGATATTTCATTCAACCTACAGTTCTCCCTCAACTAATATTAAGATAGAACATTTTTCAAATATTTAAATAAAATACCCTCATGATATAGTTTGGCTCTGTGTCCCTACTCAAACATCACCTTAAACTGTAATAATCTCCACATGTCATGGGAGAGACCCAGTGGGAGGTAACTGAATCATGGGTGTGGATTTTTCCCATGCAGTTCTCGTAACAGTGAGTAAGCCTCACAAGATCTGGTGGTTTTATAAAAGGGCAGTTCCCCTGCACACACCCTCTTGCTTGCTGCCATGTAAGACATGTCTTGCTTCCCCTTTGCCTTCTGCTATGATTGTAAGGCCTCTGCAGCCATGTGGAACTGTGAGTCAATTAAACCTCTTTCCTATATAAATTACCCAGTCTTGGGTATGTCTTTATTAACAGCATGAGAACAGACTAATATACCTCATAAAATACATCATTTAAGACTTTGGATGTAAGTTTTAGAATCTGTGGACCATATCTACCCTCTTGGTTCTCAAGTTCACTTAAAAACTGGTAAAGTGAAAAGTAAATAAATGCACATAATTAAAACTTTTAAATACCACTTCTGAATCAATATTCTTAATGATTTTGACAAAGAAATTTCTTTAAAAAAAATGTTACCAGATCATAAATAAATATGTCACTTGCTCAATACAGCTAAGTGAAGAAGTGACAAGAGGACAGGTAAGATCCATTCAAGTCTGAAGAACCCCTTATGAACATCTATAATTATCCGCACCATTACCTCAGGATCCCATCCAGAATACTACATCACATTTACTTGTTAGTTCTCCTTAGGCTTTGGCTGTGACCGTTTCTCAGCCAGTCTATATTTTAAATAAAGTTCTTAAACTCTGAATGTTCCTTAGTATCTCCTAAAGAATTCACTGCTTTACTGGACTGAAAGTAATCAATGGGTTTATTATACATAGTCCAAGATATGGGGAAAATTTTAGTTCGTCAACTTTCTGTTACCAAATTCTTATGATAATCATAGTCTACCTTGGAGAACCACTCTATATACTGTACATGAATGTCAATGGTTTAATGCTAGAAATATTTTCTGTTACAGCAATTGAAACACTGTTTACAGAACAGCCAATGAGTATATACATTCTTCATGAGAATTTTAAAAAATAAAAAAAGATGAAGAATACTCAAAATGCAACCTCAAAAGAAAATGTAACTAAGCTCTTAAAAATTTCAGATCTTTGAACAGATTCACTATTATTTATACTAAAAGAAATTACAGTAAATAGTAAAATTTTCAACCAATATTTCCAAGGCATAAAGTTAAAAACACACATTTAGCCATTAATAATTTCAGCAATACATTCTACGTTATTAGTATTATAATTCTATAATCTATTCTATAAACCAGAGGTCAGCAAATTACAGTTTGTGGGTCAAAGCTAGCCCACAGCCTGTTTTTGTAAATAAAGTTTTATTGGAACACACCCATATCTATTTATTATGTACTGTCTATGGCTGCTTTAACTCAGTAACAGCAGAGTTCAATAACTGTGACAGTCTCTGTGCAGATGCACTCAGTGACCAGCTGCGCCTCGCCATGGACACACAGGCCACCCATCTGGCCAGGCTGGAGGAGTCCTGTCGCATGGCCATGATGTGTGCTATGGCCAACGCCAACAAAGCACAGGTATGGCCTGGGCCATCTAGTACCCTAGGCCCTCCCCAACTCCTGAACAAAGTCTGGGGAACCTTAGCCACATTCTTCCTCTTATAGCCCCTCTCAAATCAGCACCAGCCCTCGCATCTGAGTACTCCCCCTTCATCGAAGGCCCCTCTTAGGGCACAAGTCACTTCTCCCCACCTCCAGAAGCAAGATGACTTGAGAACAGAATATTGCCCTCTCATCCTCAGCTTCTCAGTCTAAAGGTTTCCTGAAGGCAGAGAAGTTCCTTGCCCATTCTCCCCCACACATGCATTAGGGTCACTGAAAGGCCATGCGATATCTGTTCTTTCCTTGAGATGGAAGAGTAGGGCCATGTTCTCCCCTCCCCTGTGACAGAGTTCCCTAAGGTTGAGCACCCAAATGCTTACATTTGGGGGCTCCCCAAGGCAGCTTCACAGTATGGGCATCAGCGTTGTGAGCGTCAGCGTGAACAGAAGGCCAATCTTGCGGAGATCAAGAACCAGAGCATGAGTGACCTACTGACTGAGAACCCCCAGGTCGCCCAACACTGTACAGCTCCCCACCGGGTCCTGCCCTATTGCTGGAAGGGCATGACTCCTGAGCAGCGAGCTGCCATCAGGAAAGAGCAGGAAGTACAACGCACTGAGAAGGAAGCATAACGTCAGGCCGAAAAAGCATTGGATACTGAATGGAAAAGCCAGACAATAAGCTCAGCCAAGGCAATGCTGGAGCTAGAAGAGCAGGAGAGGGAATTGTGTGCTCAGTTTCAGAGGGGTCTAGGCTCCTTCAACCAGCAGCTGGCTCAGGAGCAAAAAGCCCAGTGAGTTCTAGGTGGTGGTGCTGGAGTTAAATACCAAGAGAGGGAGAGGAGGGATGGTGAGGAACCATGGAAAGAGGGAAAACATGTCAGCTGAGGCCTCTGGACTTCTTTCACAGGCAGGATTACCTGAACTCAGTAATCTATACCAATCAACCTACAGCCCAGTATCACCAACAGTTTAACACCAGCAGCCGCTAAGTTTAGATGTTTATCTCTCCCTTCTTGTCCATCAAGCTCACAAGTGGTCAGGAGTCAAAGAGAAAAATGCTGCATACTCCCACCTTCTAACCTAGGTAATAAACTTCTTCACTCAAAACCAAAAAAAAAAAAAAAAAAAAAAAAAAATGATGACGGTGGCTCACACCTGTCATCTCAGCACTTTGGGAAGCCGAGGCAGACAGATCACAAGGTCAAGAGATCGAGACCATCCTGGCCACCATGGTGAAACCCTGTCTCTACTAAAAATACAAATATTAGCTGGGCGTGGTGGCATGCCCCTGTTATCCCAGCTACTCGGGAGGCTGAAGCAGGAAAATCGATTGAACCCGGGAGGCGGAGGTTGCAGTGAGCCGAGATCACGCCACTGCACTCCAGCCCAGGCGACAGAGTGAGACTCAGTCTCAAAAATAAAATAAAATAAAATAACTGTGACTGACCAATTTGGCCAACAAAGCCTGTATGTTTACCCTCTGGGCTTTCAGAGAAATGCGCTGACCTCTGCCACAAACTTCTAAATATATAACACTGTAAATGTTTAGCTGTTCATCTAGATTTATAGTGAAGTCCTACTGCTTTTAATCTCCTTAAAAATCATTGCAAAACCTTTTTGTCTGTGCCTCAGTAAGCCTTCTAAGTTTGGTAAAACCTACCCTATCACTTTTTTTCTTTCTCTATTTTAAAAGTATTAAACTCCGAGCCTTGACTTTTTATCTTGAAAACAATATAGTTTAGTCAAATATTTTCTCAATTGCTAGAGAAAAGTTTAATTTCTTAGGGATATGATAAAGATATAAATTTAGGAAAACACGGTATCTAGTAGTAAAGAAATAATTCATGTAAGAAAAATCATATTTCATTAAATTTAGCAGGTTTTTGAAGAACTTAGATTGCTACTTACCAGTTAGTGAAAGCACAGAAGTCTTTCCTAACCCTGAGACAGAAGCTGTATATCCTGTTGTAGAACTTTTACTAGAAAACAACATGATTTAGTTTAAAATATAAAAACGCACTTCTCACAAGCTCAGTGAACTAACACTTGCGCTGCTTTACTCTTCTTTTTAATGCTTTCCTCTGCTTACGAAACAGTTGTTGCTTTTATTTCTCATTTGTTTTATTACACTCATGCCTCACAACACTTACTTTGTCTATAAATTAAAAGCATTTCCTTAAACTTTTGCTTCATCAGAATTTCTTTTGATGTTCAAGCAAGGCAGCTAAGATGGGTAAAAATTTTCTTGGAAATAAAACTTACCTTTAGTTATAATCTCTTTTTTCTACCTTGAGATCACTCTATTGGCTAGGTACTCTTGATGGATCTATTGATAATGCCACAAAACACAGCTAAAATTCTGGAAGAAGCTATCTTTAATAAAAGAAAAATACTTTTTCCTGAAAGATGGCATTTATCTTGATAGACAAAGGAATACTTTTAAAAATATTTGTTCTCTTAAACTTATTTTACATGTCAATTGACATATAGCTGTTTGTACAGCACATATAAAAAGTCATGATAATTTAATTTATATTGATTCTCTCCTAATCGTAACTGCTTGTAATTTTGTCTCCTGGGCTAAAGGGGAAGCCAGACATTCATCTATTGTCAGGACAATTCCGCTGTGATCACTTTATCATATGAACATGCATGTGGCTTTATAGACAGAAACAATATTAGTAACAAATGGATATCTATACGTATTTAGAAAATGGGACATACTCATACCTATTAAAAGTTAAGTGGCATATGTGATACAGTACTACTTCCCTCATGAAATAATACACAGATTAATTCTATGATATTATTAAATAGTATCATGGCAGTATTCTTCCTAGAATGCCAGGATACCTATTTTTTGTGAAAATTGGTGGACATCTCTTATTTTTAAATAAAACAATCCCTACAGAAGAAAACTGACAAAATACTGGCCTACAAAAAACTTCAAAATTAATTTTGATTTTTATAAAATGTAAACATATATATCAATATGTGAATAAAGATAAAAATTATGTTATAAATTGAAGAGCTGAGAGATCATACCTAGCACATTTCTCTAAGTTGCCATATTTTGCATGAAAAGCTTGATTATTAAAAGACTGGCTTCGAATCAGTTTGGATTTCTTGATTTCTTTACCTAGAGTAATAAGCAGAAAAAAGGAAAATGTATTAAGTTAATCCTTAGCTGCCCCAACCTCCATTCCCTCCCCAACTACCATCACTTTTAGTAAAACACAGATGGCTTTAGCCTTTTTTTCCTTAGTTTGAGCTCACTGAAGTATCTCTTACCGATACTATCCATTAAGAACTACCAAAACAACTAATAATAGAAGGTGAAAAGTGCTTTAGAATGAGATATTTTATCCCATTATATCTCATCTAATAGAGTGACTTTGCCAGCAATTAATTTTTATAAAAGAAAAAAATTATTAAAAAGATATAAAAAGAAGTTATGTCTTACTTGTCGATGGGGTGACAGAAGAAGGTCCAGGAACAGAAATGGGGATGTTCTTGGGCAGACTTTGTGTTGGTGTCTTAGTGTCTCTACCTAAAATAAACTCTGTTTTAAATTCTATAATTTCCTCTGAGTCCTTATTAATCTCCATAAACATACAAGACAACCCAGACAATATGAATCACTATCCCTAGCTAAGGAGCTTTCTTTTCCAAATATTCTAACTTTGTACTATTTACATATTTCAATCTTTGTTATTCAGTGATCAATTTCACAATCTTACAGCTGTTTTCAAACTTTAATTTTTTCTTTTGAAGGATGTGAACATCCACTCTGGTTCCTGTCTTTCATTCATGTATTCTTAACATCTGTACCACATTAAGCAGCCAATTTTCAAACTGACTTTTGAAAAATGAAAGAAAGTAAAACAAATTTCCATATAAATAAAAAATTCAGCATAGTGTTTCAGAATACCAGGATGCAACATTAATTTTGTAACTAAGTGGTGAAGACAGAAAAACTACTTACGTTTCTTTTCAAACATTTTATCACTCATGGGCCTTCCATCATTCTGTTGCTTTTCTTTCTCTAATTGTTCCTGTTATTAAGACAGTATCTTGTATTAAAGGTAAAACTTAAATAGGTTTAGAAAATTGTTCTGAGAAATTAAGCATTTGAGATTCAAATAAAGTTCATAAAAATGCCTAAAAGAAGTATTTTTTTTTTCAATGTTAGTGTCTAAAAAATTCAGGGTCCTTGGGGGTTTGTCCAGCTAAAACAATGAGTTTGGTACCTTTGTAATAATGAGCCTTCATTTTCTAGAAGGTATTTACTAATTCTTCTTAGCAAAATACCATTACTTTGGTCATTTCCATTTCAGATTGGTAAATGGTTAAATAATATCTTCCTTTAAAAAGACTGGGAGAAAAGAATATGGGCTCGGATATTTTTTAATGTTTTATTTAAGTATAATATATAGAGAGAGGCCAGGCGCAGTGGCTCACACATGTAATCCCAACACTTTGGGAGGCCAAGGTGGGTGGATCACCTGAGGTCAGGAGTTCGAGACTAAACTGGCCAACATGAGGAAGTTTCATTTATGAAATTAGCCAGGCATGGTGGTGCATGTCTGAAATCCCAGCTACTTGGGAGGCTGAGGCAGAAGAGTCGCTTCAACCCAGGAGGTGGAGATTGCAGTGAGCTGAGATTGCACCACTGAACTCCAACCTGGGTGACAGAGTGAGACTCTATCTCAAAAAAGAAAAAAAAAAAATATATATATATATATATATAATATTTCAAATAAATATAACATATGTATTATGTATTTCATTATTTTATAAAATACATATAGTGTACTTTTATATATAAATATATATAGCTCTTTATATACATATATAAATATATGTCTCTTTATATAAAGTACATAAATTATAAGTGAACAAATTCATAGCTCAATGAATTTTCCCAAAATAGACACACTTGTATAACCAGCTCCAACATCAAAAAACAAACCATTACCAAAACACAGGAGCCCATTATGCCAACAGAATAGGCAAGAAAATCAAGAAACACAGCAAGTTCTGAACAAACTTGGTATAACTGACATGCACAGAATACTACAGTATTCTCCTTAGCAAAATACCATTACTTTGGTCATTTCCATACAGTCAACAAGTGTGGAATAAACATTCTTTTCAAGTACACATATAAACTAAGAAAAAATATGGAGAAAATAAGACAAAGAATTTCCACATAGAAGTGGACTATATAAAAAAATCAAATGGAAATTCTAAAACAGAAATAAAGCATAAAACTTTATTGGGTGGGATTAACAGAGTTATCCCTTTTCTACATATTTCCCTCTATTATCTTGATCATATTAATCACAGTTGTCTTGAAGACCTTGCCTACTAGCTGCAAAATCAGAATTATTTGTGGGTATCTTTCTATTGTCTGCTTTTGTCTTAGGCTAGGTCATTTGGTCCTAAAATTTTTTGAGTCTCCCTTACAGCTTCTCCCACTGGCAATCCTGAATTCTAATCTTGTTTTGAAAGTCTGCTGAAACAATAAACTTCACTTTTCAGGGGATTTCCCCTTTAAGCACACAAATTCTCTGCAGAGAAATAGAAAATATAAAAAGAACCAAATGGAAATTTTAGAACTGAAAAGTATTGGAAATTAAAAAATTCACTGGATAGGCTCAGCAGCTGAATGGAGGGGACAGGGAAAGAGTTGGTAACACTGAGGATACATCAAGAGAAATTATTCACATTGAGTAGCACAGACTGTTTTAAAAACTGAGAAAGAACAAAGCCTCCTAAGTCTATGGACAATAATAAAAGATCTAATATATGTGCAATTAGTGACCCAGAAATAAGAGACGGAAAAATTGGAACAGAACATATATTTAAATAAACAATGACTAAATCTTCCCAAATTTCAGGAATGATATATGTTTACAGATTCAGTAAGATAAGCAAATCCAAATGGGATAAATTTCAAGCAAATAATGCCTAGACAACATCAAAAGCCAACTGCTAAAAACAGAAGATAAAAGAAAAAAAATACTTGAAGAAAAAAATACTGAGAAAAACAATGCTTCATACAGAAGCACCAACAATTCAAATGAGAGTAGATATTTTATCAGATGTTATAGGGACCAGAAGACAGATAGAAATATATTATTACAATGCAGTAAGGAAAAGGCTGCCAACCCAGACTTCTATCCCCAGTGAAAATATCCTTCAGGAATGAAGTAAGAATAAGATATCTTAGATAAAGAAAAAATAAGAGAAGTCACCAGAAGATCTGCACTGCAAGATCTGGTAAAGAAAATTCTTCAGCCTGAAGAAAAAAAAAATACCAGAGGAAAATTTAGATCTTAAGCAATGAATGAAAAGCACTGGAAATGGTAAACATCTGAGTAAACATAAAAGTTTATACTCTTAAATTCTTCAAGATACATATGACAACTTAAAGCAAAATTACAACACTGTCTGGTGGGGTCTTCAATACAGACATAATTCATTATGACAACTGTAACATGAAGAATTGGTGTGGAGTGGGTAAAGAGATTTGTATTATTGTTAAGTGACATGAGATAACAATAACACTATGTAGACTGTAAAAGGTTAGGTATGGATATTAAAATCTCTAGAGAAACCAGCAAACAAATTTCAAAAAAAAAAGGAGAAAGGAAGAACACAAATCACTAGCACAACAATAAAATGGTTATCACCGTAGATTAATACCATAATTAAAAGGAGAATATTATAAATAACTTCATGACAACAGACTTGTTTAAATAACATGTAAACTGGAGTGGGAGGGGGAAGCAGCTTACCAAAATTGACAACAGAAGAAACATAAGATCTACATAATCTAATGTCTATTAAAGAAATAGAATCAATTATCAAAATACTTCCCAAAATGAAAACTCCAGGCTTAGATAACTTCACTAGTGAAGTCTATAAGACACTCAAGGCAAAAATAAAACCAATTTATACAAACTTGGTCAGAAAATAGAGAAGGTGAGAATACCATCCATCTTGTTTTATGAGGCCAGAATAACATTAATACCAAATCTGATCCGAAAAAAGACAAAAAGGGGAATTACAGGCCAATTTCACTGAATCTATGAACACAGATGCAAAATCCCTTAACAAAAACATTAGCCAAGAATTCAATAAATAAAAAGGATAATAAACCATCGCCAAATAGAGTTTATCTCCAAAATACAAGATTGGTTAACATTTGAAAAATAAGTGTAATTCAGTGTATTAGCAGAATGAAGGAGAAAAGCCAAACATCATTTCTAGATATAACCAAATGCAACAACCATTCATAAAAAACTCTCAGCAAGCTAGGAGTCAGAAGTAACTTCCTCAATCTGATAAAGGACATCTACATAAAACCTACTTCTACCATCATACCTTACCATGAAAAACTGAACTGTTTCCCCCTAAGATCAGTAAAAAGACGAGGATGCCTACTTGTACCACTTTAATTTTACTGGAGGTCCTAGACCTTGCAATAAGACAAAAGAAAGAAACAAAATGCATAAATATTGAATATAAAGAAGTAATCTTACTGTATTTAAAGAAGATATAATGGCTTACATAGAAAATCTTAGTTGTAGAAAATCTAAAAAACAATTTCTAGAACAAATAAACAAATTTAGAAAGTTTATAAGATACAAGGTTAATGTATAAAAATCAACAATATTCTTACACTCCAGCAACAAAAAAAAAACTGGAAAATGAAATGAAAAATGCGTAATTCCATTTACAATAATGCCAAAAACATAAAATACCTAGAAATAAATTCTAGACTTCATACCAAAATGCAAAGGCCCTAGACTGCCCAAAGCAATTTTAAAAAGGAACAAAGATGGAAAACTTACCCTACCAAACCTCAAAAACACTATAAAGTTACAGTGATCAAGACAGTTTGGTATTGCTTAAAAGATAAACTTATAAATAAGGGGAACAGAATAAAAGGAAGTCAAGAAATAAACACATATGTGTACAACTAATATTTTTTAAGGATGCTAAGGCAATTCAATGGAGAAAAACAGGCTTGTTAACAAATGGTGCTGGAATAAATGAATATTCCCATGGAAAAAAATAAACATATCTTATATAAAAATGTACTTGAAATGAATCATAAACCTAAATGTAAAACCTAAAACTAAATTTTTTTAAAGAAAACACAGGAAAAAGTCTACGATCTTGGGATAGACAAAGGATTCCTGAGCAAAAAAGAACTGTAAAAGAAAGAATTGATAAACTGGGCTTCAACAAAATTAAATATTTCTATTGTTCAAAAGACACCATTAATAAATGAAAAGATAAGCCTCAGACTCCAATAAAATACTCATAATATGTATATCTGTCAAGGAAATCGTATTCAGAATGAATTAAAAGTTCTTACATCTCAATAATAATAACAAAAAGCCACTTAAAATTCTGAAAACTTCATCAAATAAGAGGTAACGATGGCCAGTAAGCAAAGACAAGATGCTTGACATCTCTAGGTACCAAGAATATAAAAAGAGATTTTAAAAAACAATGAGATACCCGTACATACCCAATAGCATGGCTGGTAACTAAAGCTTTTTACCATAGACAATGGGGATATAAAATGGTACAACCACTTGAAAACAGTTTTGTTTTGCTTTTGGTTTTTTTTTGAAAGTTAACCAGGCCATACAATCCAGCCATTCTATTCCTAGGTATTTACCCAAGAGAAATGAAAACATGTCTACCCAAGGACTTCTTCACTAATGTTCAAAGCAACTATATTTGTCATATCCCCAAATTAGAAATAAGCCAACTGTACATAAAGAGGTTAATGGATAAGCAAATTGTGATATATCCATAATATAGACTACTACTCAGAAATAAAAAGGAGGGCCGGGCGCGGTGGCTCAAGCCTGTAATCCCAGCACTTTGGGAGGCCGAGGCGGGTGGATCACAAGGTCGAGAGATCGAGACCAACCTGGTCAACATGGTGAAACCCCGTCTCTACTAAAAATACAAAAAATTAGCTGGGCATGGTGGCGCGTGCCTATAATCCCAGCTACTCAGGAGGCTGAGGCAGGAGAATTGCCTGAACCCAGGAGGCGGAGGTTGCGGTGAGCCGAGATCGCGCCATTGCACTCCAGCCTGGGTAACAAGAGCGAAACTCCGTCTCAAAAAAAAAAAAAAAAAAAAAAAAAAAAGAAATAAAAAGGAATGGCTTCTTGATGCATACAACAATATGGATGAATCACAAAGTAATTATGTTGGTAGAAAGATGCAGGACCAAAAATAGTATTAATACCCTAATATATTATTCCATTTATATAAATTACAGAAAATGCAAGCTAATCTACAGTGACAGAAACTAGATCACTGGTTGCTGGGGACTGGAGTAGAAGACATGGATTACAAAGGGGTAGAAATCTTTAAAGGAATAGAAACATTTCATATTTTCACTGTGGTGATAGTTTTATAAATATGTCAAAACTCATTAAGTAGTATAAATATATGTAGTTGTCAATTACACGTCAGTAGTTTTTTTAAAAGGCTCTCAAATATAGTTTTCCTTCTAGTTCATAAAAGAAGAGATTTCAGAAAACTGGGACTGTTCTTTAGTCATTTAAGAAGAAACAACAGTCATGTGAAATGGCAAAATGGAAAGAAATGATTTTTTTAAGTTTAATAAAAAAACACAGTTAATATTAATCAGAAAAGAGTATATGTGTGCATATGAAAAAACATACCATTTCCAAAAGAAGTAGTTCTTCTCTTTCTTTCTCTTGATCCAACAAATCTTTCTCATAAAACTTTTTCTGAAACTGTTTAAAGTTTAAAATGAAATTGTAAAACATTAGTGATGAGTTTCTGCCAAGTTTAAAATATTCCTTTCAATGAAAGTGTTATGGTTTGGCTGTGTCCCCACCCAAATGTCATCTTGTAGCTCCCTTAATTCCCTCATGTTGTGGGAGGGACCTCGCGGAAAATGGCTGAATTATGGGGGTGAGTCTTTTTCATGCTGTTCTCATGACAGTGAATAAGTCTCACAAGATCTGACGATATTATATGGGGGAGTTGCCCTGCACAAGCTCTCTTTTTGCCTGCTGCCATCCACATAAGATGTGATTTGCTCCTCTTTGCCTTCTGCCATGATTGTGAGGCCTTCCCAGTCATGTGGAACTGTGAGTCCAATTAAACCTCTTTCTTTTGTAAATTGACCAGTCTTGGGTATGTCTTTATCAGCAGTGTGAAAATGGACTAACACAATAAAAGAAGAGAGTATACTTACAGCATCCATAGACATTTCCATTCTGTCCAACTCTAATACAGTCTATAAAAAAAAGTTTCTTAAAATTATTCAAAAGTAATTAAATTAAAAGAACCAGTCATTTCTCAGCAAGTTATTTTGCAGAGGGAGGTTCAAATAGGAGACTTCTGCACTGTGGGGAAGGCTAAGTCAGAAAATTCTAAAGTTTTGCCCAATTCTACACTGTACTTACAAAACCTTTATACAATAATGGCAGGGTCAATTTTAACTTGAAAGTTTTTAACCTTAAGAAGACCAAGTCTACAGGTATATTTCAAATACCAAATTCATGCAATCTAACTCATTTCCAGTAAGTCCTAGTGCCAATCTTTTCTGAATTTTCAGAAACATATTGTAGCTTTTGAATTTTAAAAAAGTCTTTTAGCTATATATCAATGAAGAAAGCCATCATTTGGCTTAATAATCCTAGTTCCCTTCTGTAGAAATTGTATATCTGTTCTGAAAATATTCTCCAATTTATTATTTGTCTTTTAGAATATACTAGTTTGAAACAAATTATTCCAATCAAAACAATGGTCAATCTAACCTGAGGGTTCTGTCTCTATCTGATAGAGTACAGTACTTCTAAAACTTATTCTACAAGAGTGACTCTAATGGCCAAAATAAAATACATTTGGATATGCATAAATTCAAAGCTATCCATTACAAACATAAAATTTATTGGAAGCTTTTTCTGCTGAAATTTATAAAAAATTCATAATGTATGCCATGAAATACTCTCTTTCTAAATAAAGTTACTTCTCATATTACAAAACTGATGAAACTATTCCATTTTTATCCAAAAGTTTTGTGTAGCCTCCTGGGAGTTTTCCATACTAATAACTCATTATACTAAAAAATTTCCATGGGACAAACTGACTTCATTATATGCAGCATACTTAAAATAAGAGCTGTACTCCAGAACAATCCACTGTAGACTAATAATCCATTAATTTAATTACATTATTGTTGCACCTGTATGGGGTTAGCTTATACTGTTTCTTGAATTAATAAATTATTCTGAAAAACTAATCCTCTCAAGTTTATTATTTTGACAAGTTAACTCCATTGCCTAAACTTCTATATTTAAATATTGAATAGTAAAGAAGGAACTATCTGATAAAAATGAGAGAGAGAGAGAGAGAGAGAGAGAGAAAATGAAGGTGTGTATGTATTTTTATATTTAAATGCACATCCAACTCTAGGTATTTCTGATTACGAGTTGATGAAAGGAGAATTCACATTTCATTAAAACTATACAAATTAATACTATCATTAAATCACTTAATTAAAAGATTCTTCATGTAACATCTGGCAATGATTTCTAGAAAAAAAAGAGAAAAAATGAGAACTTTTTCTCACCATGTATGTTAATTTATTTATGGCATTAATAAGGAAATTTCCCTCACTACAAATAAATGCTCAAACACTACGTGTCCCGAAGTTTATATTCAGATTCACAAAATAAATAATTTCACTTTAACTTATAAAAATACTAGTTATATATTCAGCATAAACAATTTTTGAAGAGTAAAAATTATTCTAAGATGTGGCTCACTAACCCAAAGTTTTACTGTTTTAGTTTTCCCAACATTTCCAAGGAATCCATATACTAAGATCTCATGCTAAAACAAACAAAAAACTCATAGGATACAATGTTACATTATTTACAAAGAAATGCACTCAGGGGTAGGTAAGAGGTCTCTATTCTAGTCCTCCTGGTTCTGCTACTTACTAATATGATCTCGAGTAGACAGTATTCCTAGGCATAGAACTTCTATAAATCAAACAGACTCCTGAATTAACTCTATGAGCCCTTCCAGAGATAAGTTTCTATAAAATGTGACTTTCCCAATTTCACCAACAAAGTTTTACTGGATTATAATCATTTATAAAGAAAGTCTGATAAATAAAATATGTATTATTAATTGAACAGTGTTTATTGAGCACCTAACTTGTGAAACTCTCTCTCATGGGCTTATATTACTAACAATAAAAATTTAATATCTAGGTGCCCTTTGGAAGAAACTTTCATATCCAGTTGTAGCACGTATCAACCAAATCATTTACTAATTCTTACAACTCTAGCAAAGATAAAAATATTTTAATATATTGCTACCTGTCAAGCTGAAATAGTGAACCTATGATTCTTACTACCTTAATGCAAAAAACGCAAGAGTGATACTTACTTTTTTTACAATAGCCAGAACATCTTTATCTTTTTCTTGACACAGGAGTTTTCTCACACACATTTCTAACTGCTGAAGTAGATGCTTATCAGCAGGAATCTTCAGAGTAGATTTAACTTTGGGCAACAAGCAGCAAAGTTTCATTCTACAATAAATAGCATTTACTCTTGAGAGAATTTAATAACTAAGAATACCAGTAACATGAAACAAAGAAAAATCAAGTTTTAGATGGCCTGAGAATTCATGCAAGATATATGTATGGAGTGTCTATTGTGTCAAGCATTCATCATTCTAGATGCTGAGATACAACAATAAATAAAACCAACAAAATTATCTGCTCTCCTGGAGCTTACATTATATTATGGGAGCAGAGAAGAGAAAAGAAACAGGTAAAAATCTGTCAGAGAGTGTTAAGTGCTGTGGAGAAAAATAAAGAAGGAAATAAAGTCAAGGGAGTTCCAGAGGCTGGGGATTAATCAGTTTTAAAGCAGGTGGCCAGAGAGGATTATCAGTAAAGGTTCCACTGAAAAGATGACATTTAAGCAAAGACCTAAAGAAAATCAGGGAATGAGTCATGTGAATATCTGGAAAAGAGCATCACAGCAAATATGGAGAGCTTTTCTACTATTGGTCCAAATGAGCAAACAGGCCATTGTGCCTAAACAGAGTGAAGGTGAGACTAGCAGGAGAGCTCAGACTGGTAAGTTAGAGGCTTTGAGGGCCACTGTAAGGAAATTGCCTTTTATTTTGAGTATGACAAGAAGCCATTGGTAGGTTGTGAGCATAGGGGTGAAATGATCTGACAATGTTTTACAAGCATCATCTGCCTACTTTGTTGAATGAAATCAGACTGCAGCTGGTCAAGGACAGAAAAAGAGAAATAGGAAAAGCCCTTACATTGAACCAGAGTGTTAGAGTAAAAGGTGGTGAGAAGTAGTTGGATCCTGAAAATCTTTTACAAGCAGCAGGATGTGCTGAGGGATTGGAGGTAGAATGATAAAGAGAAGAATTTATTTAAGGTTTTGATCTAAGGTTTTGAGGCTGGAAGATGAAATTGTTATTTCCTGAGATGGGGAAAACTACAGAAGGAGCAAAAGCAGGTAAGAAAGATGAAGATTTAATTCTGGACACATCAAGTCTGAGATGTCTATCAGATATACAATGGAAATGCTAAGTGGGCAGTAGGCTCAATAAGTTGGCTGTCCAGGGTAGAGGTCAATGCTGGAGATAGAGTGAGGACTCTTCAGCAAGTAGATGATAAACCGTGAAACGGGAGAGATCACCAAGGTAATATTTTCAGTTAGAGAAGAAAAGGATAAAAGAACACAGTCTAAGGTGGTCTAAAGCACTAACACAGTCTAGACTGGGATGGGGAAAAAAAAAAAAACTTTCCAGGAAGAGGCAGTTAACAGGTAATATATTCTACTTTGCTAAGCTAAAAGTCTACTCTTTTTCCAGGGCTGTTTTAGAGAGGGATGCTAGGTGGATATCTATTTTATAGCTGCTATATTCATCTATTCATCTGAATGCTCTCCAAATTATTTTTCATTTTTATCACAACCCTTGAGACAACTGAATCCCATTTTTAGAGTTTCCAGAACGCTTTCTCAGCTGAATCTTGAGGATTCTTTATATACAACAAAATTTGCTTCGTATTTAACAAAAAAGGGTAAAGAAGCTCCTCCTACAGAATTTCCAGCACTGTAAATCGCAATAATGGTCTCAATCTCATTCAGAGCTCACCACGGATGCGGCTAAACCTAGTAATGCTTTCTCTAATTAAGGAGCATCAATCCCCACAAAGAAATTTCATTTCTGGCAGCTGTGGAAAAGGCTTACTGTGAATACCAAGAGTCTTTTTCCAGCTTGATACTGTATAAACTTGATGAGTTTAAATTTTAAACACTAACTTAAGGGAAAACCAAAACACTTAAATCTATGCACACTCAATTCTTTATAACCCAAGGCTAGAAGGTCTAGAAAATAGATATTCAGCAGAAGCTACACAAGCCATTGTAGTGATTCATCTCCATGAGACTCCTTGGCCCATGAGACGATCAAATTCTTGAGATTAGGGACTTCACCTTTTGGATAATTTACGTCTATTATCTCAGGTATTTGTACCTCAGAATACTTAATAAATTAGGTATTAAGGAAATCATTGCACACAGAAGTTTTGTAACTTGGTTAAAGATACACATCTAATATAGAGCTGGAATTTCAGCTCAGGGAGTGTGGTTCCAGAAACTGTCCTAATCTACATGATCCTACTACCCTTGGCTGTGACAGTTTTCATTCTATCTGCACATCTTTAAAGCACTGAGCAACAGCTTTTATACCCAAAACCAGTTAGCATACAGTGTTGTTGGACCCATTTCTTGGCTGGCAGCCGGCCAGGCAAGAAAGTAGGAACCAAGACACACAGTTATACAAGAATCTATTGCCCTGCAAATCTCTGAAATCTATAGAGCAATTTTTAATTGCTCTTCATTTGGCTTTTTAAATTAGCAGATTTCTTTCTCATAGAGTCAATGTTATGCTCTTAGTCAGACTGACCAAAGTAGTGATGATTTCATTTCCTTTCAAATTATTTTTGCCAACTGCTTGATAAGTGACAATACATCACATTGAAAGTTGCGTTTTTAGAATCACAATTTCAATTCACAAAATGTTCATAAAGCTGGATCCATTAGTTTAGGAAGAGCTAAAATCTAAAGAATTACCAAAGGTTCTTTTTTCTTCTTTGAGATGCAGTGTTGCTCTGTCACCTAGGCTGGAATGCAGTGGCGCCATCTTGGCTCACTGAACTTCTGCCTCCCAGGTTCATGCAATTCTTCTGCTTCAGCCTCCCAAGTAGCGAGGACTACAGGTGTGCACCATCAAGCCCAGCTCATTTTTGTATTTTTAGCAGAGACAGCGTTTCACCATGTTGGCCAAGCTGATCTCAAACTGCTGGCCTCAAGTGATCCCACCTGCCTTGGCCTCGCAAAGTGCTAGGATTACAGGCATGAGCTACCACACCCAACCCAAAAGATTCTTTATATATATATACTTTAAGTTCTGGGGTACATGAGCAGAACATGAAGATTTGATCCCCCCATCAGCTATAGTAGGTATTTCTCCTAATATTATCCCTCCTCAATCCCCCCACCCCCTGCTATCCCTCCCCTAAACCAACAGGCCCCAGTGTATGATGTTCCCCTCCCTGTGTCCATGTGTTCTCATTGTTCAATGAGGGAGAACATATGGTGTTTGGTTTTCAGGTTTTGGGTCAGTTTGCTGAGAATGATGGTTTCCAGCTTCATTCATGTCCCTGCAAAGGACATGAACTTATCCTTTTTTATGGCTGCATAGTATTCCATGGTGTATATGTGCCACATTTTCTTTATCCAGTCTAACATTAATGGGCATTTGGGTTGGTTCCAAATCTTTGCTATTGTAAACAGTGCTGCAATAAACATACGGCATGTGTGCATGTGTCTTTATAATACAACGTTTTATAATCCTTTGAGTATATACCCAGTAATGGGATTGCTAGGTCAAATGGCATTTCTATTTCTAGATCCTTGAGGAATTGCCACACTGTCTTCCACAATGGTTGAACTAACTTACACTGCCAACAACGGTGTAAAAGCATTCCTATTTCTTCACATCCTCTCCAGCATCTGCTGTTCCCTGATTTTTAACGATCATCATTCTAACTGGTGTGAGATGGTATCTCACTGTGGTTTTGATTTGCATTTCTCTAATGACCAGTGATGATGAGTTTTTTTTTCATATATTTGTTGGCTGCATAAATGTCTTCTTTTGAAGTGTCTGTTCATATCTCTCACCCACTTTTTGATGGGTTGTTTTTTTCTTGTAAATTTGTTTAAGTTCTTTGTAATTTCTGGTTATTAGCCCTTTGTCGGGTGGATAGATTGCAAAAATTTTTTTCCATTCTGTTGGTTGCCAGTTCAATCTAATGATAGTTTCTTTTGCTGTGCAGAAGCTCTTAAGTTTAATTAGATCCCATTTGTCTATTTTGGCTTCTGTTGCCATTGCTTTTGGTGTTTTAATCATGAAGTCCTTGCTTATGCCTATGTCCTGAATGATATTTCCTAGGTTTTCTTCTAGGGTTTTTATGCAGTTAGATCTTATGTTTAAATCTTTAATCCACCTGGAGTTAATTTTTGTATAAGATATAAGGAAGGGATCCAGTTTCAGTTTTCTGCATATGGCTAGCCAGTTTTCCCAACACCATTTATTAAATAGGGAATCCTTTCTCCATTGCTTGTTTTTGTCAGGTTTGTCAAAGATCAGATGGCTGTAGATGTGCAGCATTACTTCTGAGGCCTCTATCCTGTTCCATTGGTCTATATCTCTGTTTTAGTACCAGTACCACGCTGTTTTGAATGTCAGTAATATGTCACCTCTCATTTATAAAGGCACAAGAAATATGTACAAAAAACTAAAGTCAATGCAGTTGTGTTTTCTATATTTTCTCACATTTAAAATACAAAATAAAAACTTCTATATTTGTTCCCATTTAAAAATGTGCATAAAATTCTTAGGTTGAACTTTTCAGTATCTTTTGACAATTCATTTTTGTACCTATCTCAACACCAAGGCTATTAATCTTAGCTAGCTTATTATCTCACCAACTCCTCCTATTAAAAAGTTTTGATGTTTTTACATATTGCCTAAAATTCACATCAGTTGTTTATAAAAGAGGTGCATAAAACTAAGTGCCCCTAGTGTAAGAAAATTCAGAAGAGAGTTCTAGAGTTTGTTCAGGAAAGCCTTTGGCCAACTGACTCTGATGTCTCTCTTTCCTACAGATCTGAGTTCAAGTTCAAAATGGAGACACAGGACTTAGAACACAGAAATCTAATGACTGAGGGTTTAAAATTCTTTTCATTCCATTCTCAAATGTACAAAAATAGCTCTTAAGTAATAATGTGCGTTTACTTTAATGTCACTGAACTATATGGTTAAAATAGTAAATTTTATATTATATATTTTACCACAATAATAAAAAAAGGAAGATGTGCTCACTTGGGGAGAAAAAGGACAAAATATATTTATTCTTTTTTTACATTTCCAGGCAAGCCATTTTCAGTTCTGTCCATCCAACTCAACAGTTAATCAAATGCAAGTAACATTTCAGTGGATTTCAAAAATGTAAGGCAGCTAAACATAGAAGACAAGATGAAAACTTTGAAGCAGTACTACTTCTTTGAATAAATGGGCCTCTAAAAACTGACAGACGCTCACCAAGCCAACTTTGAAGTGACAAGGCTACTGACCAACTTTTCTTTAGTTTTAATGATAAATTAATAATATCTACTCAACCTTCTAATCATTGCAATGTATATACCTGAACAGCCAAAGAAGTTTACAAATCTGGCTTTGACTTACTGCTCTCAACCCAGTAAAACAAAAAATCTGAGACAGTGTTCAAAGAGTGTGCTTCCAAGTCTTACTGATACTCATCAACTATGAATACTAACAATTTCAAAGCATGTGTAAATTCTTCACTTAAAATTTTAATTGGCTAAGAAAAATATTTTGCATATGTTCACTACAGTAGGTAAAAATAAATACAATGTTTTCAAATTTTTTCATTGATTGATAACATACCTCACATTTGCTACTGGATCATGTGTCAGTTCAATAGCAGGTAGAAAGAAATATTTACAGAAAAATGATTTGGAAAATATCTCTATAATAAATTCACAAGTATCCAAAAATCGAAGTCTATTCCAATAACTTTTTCCTTGGCCCAATTCTAGAAACAACAAAAATCATCTTAAGTTAATTTTTCCTACATGAAATTAATGTGACAAAATTAGACACACAAAATTCATAACAAGTTTCTTCATACTCACAATTTGGCTAGCAAGTACAAGAGATAGGAGGAAAAAAATCATTATTATATACCTCAGATTTGTAAATCCCCAAATTGACACCTCAAAAACCATAAAAACGTTTTGTCAAACGTTTCATTCAATTTCATAAGCATTTATTAACTATGGAATGACTACATTTACTACTTTTTATCACCCAGTATGTGCTAAGTACTTTACACATATTATCTCATTTAACCCTGAAAAGCAGCCCAAAGAAATGCACACACTTCTTCCTCCTAAAGATAAGGATACTGAGATTTAGTGAGTTTAAAGTCATACAGCTGGCAGGTGCAGAGCTAGAATTCAAACACAGGTCTGTATAACTTCAAAGTGTTTTAATAATCAAATTGACTGTCTTCTTCTCTTTGTTGCCTTAAAAATGCTAGATACAGTTATATGTAAACAGTATTATTGATAATAATTCAGATCAATATTAAAAAGGTTAATTTTCTTTTTACATAAATGTTCAAAAATAAAACTCTTAATATTTAAAACCAAACTGAATCTTCTTTCAAAATAAAACATTCTAAACATGAGGTCTTACCACTGAAAACTGAAAACTAAATTAAAATAAGACTATAAAAAGAAAGATTAAAGTATGCTGAGCATACTTTTTCTTAAATGGAATTTTATAAAAGTACTCTAATTTTTTGAAAAGTAGTGATCCACACTGAAAATGGTAAACTCCAATAACTAGAAAATCCCATTACCTGCCTATGCTGGATAATATAGATTAGTAAAAACATTAAGACATTATAAGCAAAGCAAATATACAATAATTAACAAACTTACTAAGTATACATGGGTGTGTACAACTATTTCTAAAATCAGTACTATAAACCAAAGGGTTCTGCCTTGATTTTAGCTCTTACCAAATCAAAATAAATTTGCATTTGTAAACTGACTTAGTTTCTTAAGGCATGATAAACCAACTAGGCTCATCAAATTCACATTCAAATATTCTATCAACTCTATTCAAGGAAAAATCCCAGATTCTGTTAATTATGTTAATATTGAAATAGGACCATAAAAAAATGATTAGATTCATGGATATTCTATTTACATTTTAGTTCCAAATGTTATTTCATCAGGGTAGAAACTGGGCTTTCAATATAAGTAAACATATTTTAATTTCTAAAGTGTAGAAATTCACAAAAGAAAACAGAGTAATTATTACTTTCATTTATCATAGATCTAATCTTGCCGTAAGGATTTCTAAAAAATAAAAATCAACTTATAAAACCCAACATCAACCTAATTATTCACAGCAAAATGATACATAAGTCAAATATAACTAAAGCCAACTAGTTTGTTTACTTTCCTTTTTCAAAATAGTAATGTTTACTTACGCTCAATTAATTTTTGAATGACCTCATGTCTCTGTTCTTGTTTTCGATTATAACGCAGAAAAATGCATAGAGTTCGTGAGGCTGCCTTTTGGACAGGTAAGACATTCTTGAAGAAATAAATAAGACAGACAGTTACACTAGGCTAATTCTATTCTAGATAATTTGGCCCCACCAAATCAATTTTAAGTTATTGACTAAAAGGAAATGAAGTGTTCACTGCCTCTCAACTCTGAACTTCTATCCTTCTGGAAGTATCTTCATAAATTAATGTTAAGCACCAGGCAAATCAACTAATAATTATATTACAAAGTTAATTTGGCATAGTCATGTCCAAATCATCCAGATTTGACGCTCATTTCCTTGCCATCTCAGCTTAAATGATCAAATACATCCCTGTCACCTATTCTTTTAGCTGTTCCCTGGACTTTGTCATTCATTCATCTGACAAACATTTGCTGTAACATGCCATGTGTCAGGTACATCACCAAAAATATGCCACTACTAAAATATAAATTTAGGGATCCCATGATCAGGTATGCTCTTCAATTCTTCTGGCTTAATTCTAGCTCTTCATGACAGAGGTGAAGTTTGGAATCCAAAAAACACCACATCAATCATTCTTAACAATATTTCAAGTTCCTTTGTCCTTTGAATTTCTGTCACACCACTAAGCAGAACCTTAATTTAAATACAGCCATTTATCTTTCCTGGGCTAGGGTTCAAACCATACATTACAGAAAAATCTCTTAACCAGGTATATTGTGTCCAGTATAAATTCATGTTCATTAGCTTGACTTGCATACAAATATAATGCTGAATTACTAAAGATCCCAAATATTATAGTGGGAATCTTCGAAATTCAAATAAAATGAAACTATGTTGCTGAAACAGTGTTACCTGCTACCTCCGCTCATATTTTATACAAGCTATTCACATTCTATCTGGTACAATTTGAGAGGCGTTTTTAATCTGTTGAATGGTAAAAAGAGGGTATTTCCTATGATTTAGAAAATTTAAGCAATATACATAAGCAGAAACATGACTGGACTTAAGGAAAATGAATTTTCAATAAATGGTAAACAAAATAAAAGCATGTCATTCTTTTCTTTCATTTAGTATTTACTGATAAAATTTCAAATACATATATACTAGTTATATGAAAATATGTACATTTTATAGGTCATATAAAATAGATACTATAGTTTGTGCCATAAGGTATTCTTTTGGGCCCAAAGTCAAAGATAAATGTAATCAGGTCAAAAGCACATGAGAGTCAGCTTGAAGAAGTTGTGACAATTTGTGCAAAAAATAACTGCAATGACATTATTTTATCTAAAAGAGAATCAAAATTAAAAACAAAGTATTCTTGTCACCATTAAAAATAGCTACTGCACCAAATCCTAGCTCTGAAAATTGGTAATTAGAGGAAAAATATTAAGAATTCATTCTGTCTTTACATTAGTAAATGTAGCTCAAGGTCGTCAAATAACCAATGTGGACAAAGGAATATACTTCTTCACAGAATGCCACCATCAAAAATGTGTAAGAAATGATGGAATTTTAAAATTATTTTGCAAGTTATAATGAAATCACTGATTCAAGCGAGGATAATCAATAGACTCTAAAACTAACAAGTAAAAGGCTGACAGAAAAACTGGGTATTCAGAGGGCTGAAGTAGCATCTGAAGATTGAGCTGGCTATTCAGGCTCTTTTTTGGTCCCATATAAATTTTAGAATAATTTTTCTAATTCTGTGAAAAATTACATTGGTAGTTTGATATGAATGTGTTGAATCTGTAATTGCTTTGGGCAATATGGCCATTTCAACAATATTGATTCTTCCAATCCATAAGCATGGAATGTTTTTCCATTTGTCTATGTCATCTATGATTTCTTTCAGCAGTGTTTTATAGTTCCCCTTGTAGAGATCTTGCACCTCCTTGGTTAGATGTGTTACTGGATTTTTGTGTGTGTGTGGCTATTATCATTGGGATTGCATTCTTGATTTGGCTCGCAGCTTGAATATTACTGGTGTATAGAAATGCCACTGATTTTCGTACATTAGTTTTGTAACCTGAAACTTTACTGAAGTGGTTTATCAGGTCTAGGAGCCTTTTCACAGGATCCTTAGGGTTTTCTAGGTATAGAATCATATCTTCAGCAGAGTGATCATTTGACTTCCTCTTTTCCCATCTGGATGCCTTTAATTTCTCTCTTTTGGCTGACTGCTCTGGCTAGGACTTCTGGTACTATGTTTAATAGGAGTAGTGTGAGTGGGCATCCTTGTCTTCTTCCAGTTCTCAAGGGGGTGGCTTCCAGCTTTTGCCCAATCAGTATGATATTGGCTGTGGGTTTGTCATAGATGGCTCTTATTATTTTGAGGTATGTTCCTTCAATGCCTTCTTTGTTGAAGGTTTTTAACACAAAGAGATGTTGGACTTATCAAAAGCCTTTTCTGCAACTACTGAAATGACCATAAAATTTTTGCTTTTAATCCTGTTTATGTGGTGAATAACATTTACTGATGTGCTTACACTGAACTAACCTTGCATTGCAGGAATGAAGCACACTTGACTGTAATGAATTAACATTTTGATGTGCTAGAGGATTTGGTTTGCTAGTATTTTCCTCAGGATTTTTATGTCAATGTCAATGTTCATTGGGAATATTGACTTGTAGTTTTCTTTTTTTGTGTTGTTTTTGCCAGATTTTGGTATCAGGGTGATGGTGGCTTTGTGGAATTAAACAGGAAATCCCTCTTCCTCAATTTTTTTTCAGTAGTTTCAGTAGGACCAATTATAGCTCAAAACAGTTTGCAGGGTAGGTCTGCTGGTAGTCTGGCAATGCAGTGGGTCAAGGGTAGAAGATCCCTGGGCAGGGCAAGTCAGCGCAGGGCAGGGCGGGGAAAGTTAGGGCAAGGCAGGGCAGTGGTACCACTGGTATACAACCAGGTAGGTGCGCCCAGTAGATGGGTGTGGGGCTCACCCAGTTGGCACTCCCCCAACCTGGCATCTGCCCCAGGGGCAGGCCTGACCAGCTGGGCTTGTCCCAAGCCTTCTGTGCCCAGATCGCTGAACCATGGAATGTTTCTATATTTCAAAAAATGGCAATAGGATCTCGTATTAAATGCACAGTAAATTATGAGTTAAATAATCCCCCCATAAATTTCTGTGAACAAAAGTAGACAACTAACTTTGTGAGGAGGTTTGACTACCACCTCGTTTTAAGGAAGGAGTCTTTTTTTTTTTTTCTGTTAACTCTAATTGTAAGGTTATCAATCGTAGTGCATCCATATATTTGTATAAGCTTTCTCTGTTCCATAGCCACACTTTAGTTACTATAAAAGTAACCAAACTAATACTAGGAAGCTTAAGGGATGCCCTGGCAAAACAGACAGCTGGGGTCAGACACTAAGGTGTGAATACATCAGAGGTGCACATCAGAACAGAAGGTCCTTTGCAGTTAAAGTCACTAAGTCTCGTCAACAACCCTCTTAAGAACTATTTCAAGTTTGAAGTGAGTCTACACTGTTCTTGGCAGTATATCAACAAAGGGTAGTTGAAAGTGCCACCTGGTCATTCCTCTCTCCAGCTCGAGAACAGATTCTCAGAGGGAGAGCTAGTTGGGTAGCAAAGGGAAACCTGAAGTCCCTCCTCTAGACCTGGGAAGGTGACATCCTCCTAGGAAGAATGGAATGAACCGAGTTTGTTCCACTATTTTGAAAATATGAAGAAAGTGGTAATTCCAGAATCAACCATGAGTTCAAAAGAATAAGATGAAAGGTACTGAGCTCACATTTGTCATCATGATTGTGAACATTCTTTGTAAGAAACGATAATAAATCTGATCACTTGATATGACATGTGGCAGACAGGCATATTTCTGAAGTAGCTTTTCATGAGTTCTCCATTTTAAAGAGGCTGCAGCTCGCTGTTCAGCAGCTGTGAGTGCTGGAATCAAGTCAGGCAAAGAAGATAACTGAAAAATGAAATGCATCAAAAGAATCAATTACACATAAATAAATAAATTGCAGCACTCGGTAAAATTACTCAGTCTTATAATACATTGGGGAGGGGAATATGCCTGCTCATTTCAGAGTTTAGGAGACATCTTAACTGTCACAAGGAGAAAATTATCTGACTAAATCAAATACTTTTAAAAGAAATACTTAAGTAAAATGTATGATTCCTGGGAACCAAATTTTGAAATAAAAACTACAACTCATTCTTCCTGTCAGATTATAGCAATTCTTCTAACTACAGTACAATGTATTACATATCATTACTGTCAACAGGCTTTGACCTCCTAAACTCCTACCCTTTCCTTAGGTTACACAGAAGCTTAAAAAATAATAATAAAGAAAAAATTTCTACCCTTTTGTCCTCACTATTTGCTATTCTTGGAATAATCATTAATACTAATGAAAAAATGAAAATATAAACATAAACTCCAAATACAATAAATAACAATCACAGTAATTTAAAATTATCAATGTAAGAAAGATAAAGGAAATTCAAGCTGTTCAAACTCTAACAGGCTTTTACTGACCAACTGCTATGTGGTGTGCACTACCTTACATGTTTTCCAAACATTCCTTCATTGACACCACACAACACCCTGTAGAGTAGGATAATATTTACAAAGCTTAGAATGTTTCTGAAAGATGAAATTTACCTTATTTTCTTGAACACTGCTTTCTCCACCAGTAGACATAAGTTCCAAGATTTCTGGAAGATGATCTATAAGAGCATCTAGTACCTTTTAACAGAGATATTGATTACTGTTATAGCGATTACTATGTTTTTTCTAGATTAGCCAATTCCACATGTCAATTTCTATACAGTAATATTGGGGTTTTTTCCCAAACATTTTGGGGATTTCTATTTTCTTACTCTGCCATCTTTGTGCTGAAAAGTCTTAGAAACATGACCAACTGCCTTGGCCAACCTTTGAAAAGAGATTAGTGTACCTGCCTCTTGACATTGTTCAAATAGTCTAAATCTGAGATAGCTGCTTCTACAAAACTAACATGCTCAAAAACTGTCTCCAAACTTTTGACAGGTGGTTTAAATCGGATAATATTCTCAATGATATCAAACTTTTGACAGGTGGTTTAAATCAGATAATATTCTCAATGATATTCATGAACTGAGCTTTGGCAAATTAACAGTCATTTAGTTGAAGGCACTATCTAAATACAGCATCAAAATAAAGTATTTCAAAGTCTTCATAAGTACATACTAAGGGGTAAAATACTACCCAAACAATGCCAAGAGAAAAAAAGTTATTAAAATGCGATATATGATTACAATTGAGTAAAATATAAACCTTTATAAAGAAAAGAAGATTCATATAAAAAAAAGAAAAAAAAAACAATGTAACAGTATTTGGAATTAAAGGTATTCTTTTGTCTGTTTTTTTTTTTTTGGTACTTCCTAAACTTTTCTTAATAAACAAATACATATATACTAAGTTTTAAAACTGAATATATTTTAAAACCTAATTTTTTAAAGATCCTCCCAATATCCAGTTTATGACACAGTGGTACATCAATTTGAAGCTTCTGGGGCTGGTTAGCTGAAAGAATTCACACAATTCCAAGAAGTAGGGAAGAAAAGGCATCAGTATATTTGGACCAAACATAAAAGAATAAGAGTAAGAAAATATTTAAAAAAAAAAAGAGTAAGAAAAAAACCAAAGAGTAAGAAAATATTACCTCCAGTGATTCATCTTGTAATAATGTTATTAGTTCTTTATGTATTAAATATACTCCAGAATTCAGAAGTTTAGACACCTAAAATATAGCAATAAAGTCTCTCAGATTGAGACTACTAGACAGATAGAAGTTATAATAGTAATTTTTAAAAAAAATACATCCTTGTTACATATTCCTTCTAAAATAAAGCCATGTTATAACACAAATATAAAATCAGTTTCCATAAAAATTAGTGGTGCAAATATAACCAGCTTTCTAGTCTGCCTCATAACATATTGAAGTGTGTGGACATATAAGCACACATAGGGGTGAGGAAATACAAAAGAATGAGATTTACCAGTCATAACTTTCACATCAACAGTAATAACAAACCCACAGGGACCTCTAGTTCACATTTTAAAGTCTTAGAGCAGCCAACAGGGTCTTAAAGGATATCCTAGGCATACAAGTATCCATACCAGTTCAGAACTTCCCAGAGAGTAACTTCATACTGAAGGCCTACAGTGATATTGGGGTAGCAGTAACTCCTAAGTAAGCAAACCAACTTTCCTTTTCCCCATCAAATACTTTAATCAGCATGAGAGGAGTCAGGAGAGTCCAGAATAGTACAGTTCCCCTTGTAGACAGTATTTTTTTTTTCTCCAGATAAACTCAAATGGAGCCCAAAATGTTGGATTTACCAGTTTCTACTTCAACTTATTCTTTTTAAAACACAGTCGGCTTGAGTAAAGTTTTATTTGAAAAAAAAAAAATGGTTCCTGGATAAAGAAAGGGCTTTAAAATTTTTTACTCTAACAGGATTGTTTTTGACTTGAAAATATTTCCAAAATATTATTATTCTGAAAAACAAGAACAAAGAATATAGTAAAGCAATTATCAGAATCTAGCATTAACATTGTTAGAAAAATTTAAATCCGCCAGTGGATTTTCATTACTTAAAAAAAAACTTACACTAGCCCTTCATTTATGGAGGGGCACATCATTCTTACCCTACCTAGATAGTATGATTGTTGTAGAATATGGAAACTAGCCACCCAGTCAATGATTATCAAACTCACTTCCACCAGTGAAACATTTTTGTACACACATGTATATTTCCATGTTTAATTATATGGTGCTATATCATGTCCACTATAAAACATAAATAAAATTAAATATTAAAGTGATGAGAAAAACAAACATAAATAGACTAAAATTGTATAAATACTGCATTCTCAGACTCCAATCTTGTACAACCCTCTTTGGAGACCAATGATCTAACAAGTACATGTGGACATGATAACCAAGCCTAAATGATCATTTAATGCATCTTGGAGGTAAATATTCTGCTCAGCCGACCAGTGCTCTCTGCCCTCTCCCCTCTTCTCCAAAAGCAATGTTCTACAGGTGTATTTTACAAAGATGATATAATTGTGCAGCACTGAAATTATTTTAACTAATTATACTTTAAAGGGAAGATGTCCAAGATTTTGTACAATGCATATATTTTTCATTCATACCAGAAAAAGTGTTCTTTCTAAAAAGCAAAACTATCACCCAGTAGCCAAAAAATAAGCAACATTTGTAATGATGCTATGGATGGATATCCTACACAGTTGCAGCTAATCAAAGTGTTCTGACACAGGAACACAGTGCAAGAAAGGAGATGAAATATTCTCACTAAGAATAAGAACTTATTATACCACTTACTAAAGAAAGGAAATATCTTAATATACCACTTATCCAGAGGTTTTTAATGTGCCAGTTTAGAAGCTGAAAGTTATAGCTTACCCATATTTACTGCAACCATGGCTTAGGTTCACTTCTGGCTATCATTCAAGAAACATGCCCCAAATTTCAACTTCAAGGATTAAAACGTTAGTTACATTCATCATAAAAGTTTAAATTTATTTTTGCTCTTACTTTGTGGAGAGTCATAATAGCAGAATCTGAAAGCCACACTCATGAAACACCATCCATTTGTAGTAAAAAATAATTAATGTATCTCAACTTTCTATTCATTCTCAAGTGCTTAAGTTTAGGTGCAAAGTTAACTGTAAATATTATAAAGCATATGAAAACTGCTTTTACTTCAAAATTTGCATCACCCATATCTACCAAAATGCCTGGCTTAAGGAAAGCACTTGGTATAGATATGGTGAATAAATGGATTCATAAAAGAATACATAAATATAATGTATTTATGGAAATGGATTCTGTAAACACACTAAAAAAGAATTATGGAAATTTTTAAACAAGATTTAAGACAAGAACATAAAAGAGATATGCAGTCTACATCTCACAATCTATAAGCACAAGTGTACAAAATATCAAAAAAATCATCTAATACATAGGTAGAATTAACAAATGTAAAGTGATATCAAGTCTTCAGACTTACTTCATAAAAGCAAATAGCAATAGTGTATCTGACTGGTACTTCAGGGTCATGACAAAGGCAGAAGAATGTAGAATAGAGTTCCAAGTGGAAGTTTTTAGGATCAACAAAAACAATCATGGCCTGGTGGAGGTGGAAGGGAGGAGATGAATGGGAAGGAAAGAAAAACATGCATCAATACCTAATATTATAATTGTTTCACTTAAATTGAAATCATGTTCTCTGAATTGTAATTTAATTAGAAACCATATTTGGAAGATCCAAATATGTGTATATCATTCTGATTTGTCCACAAAGATATAAATTTCACAAATATTTAATCTATGTGTACTATGTTGTAATACTCTGTATGTATTAGACATAATGCCAAGCAGCAAGTGTCAAATATGGCAATATTTTGGCATCCATTCACATATTTTAAAGTTATAATAAAAATCCTCAATAAATATAAATATATATTTATTACCGGAAAGTTATAAGCACAGTTCTTCCGTACTGAAATATATTTCTTCTCCTGCTCTAGGATTTGGGGTGGAATCTGGTTCTCACTGTGTCCATTTTCTTGTTGCAAACCCAATGTACAAAGTTTCTTATAAAATTCCAAAAATCTCAAGTGCTGATCTGGAGTAAAAATTCCTAAAACAAATTTAAAAACCTATGCTCAACATTTCTATTAAAAACAAAATTTTTAAAGGGAAAATCAAAGTACAATAAAAATACAATTGGAGAAAAATACTTAAATAAGTGGTTGCAGATAGTTCATAAATAAAAGAAACATGAAAAGAGTAACTGTTAGGAATCTAACAGTTATTTTACCTCATGTTAATTCTAGTAATATTTTCATTTCAAAAGCATAACTTATATAATGCAGGAACTATGCTCGCATTAATTGCTGCAGCATGTACCATACTGTAGGCCACTAAAAAGTCACTAATAACAACAATATTGTGGCTATTTATATAACTGCCATCTTCTTACAATAAATGTTCTACAATTGCTGGCAGAAAAGGGGTGTGTGTGTGTGTGTGTGTGTGTGTGTGTGTGTGTGTGTATTTCTCTCTCTCTCTCTTTGCAGGAAAGGAGCTTAAAAATTGAATCTGAAAGACAGCAAAGTAGACTCAAAATATAGTTAATCAATGGAATGGTTCCACAGTCATTAACTATCTCAAGAAGCTAGAAACTGATAATATATTGTTATGAGTTCATTATTACACAGTCTATCTCACATTGATATAGTAAGCTAAGAACTAAGTAATGAGTTCAAAATGCCAAGAGTTATGGTATTATTCCACATTCCAAGCTGAACTCCTCACATGAAATAAATTATTCAATAAATGATTAATAAGTATATACTTACTATATACCAATAGTTAATAAGCCTGAGCTATTATCACACACAAAATAATATGTAAGTATTCAGATATTTAATGAGCTATGCTGCTTACTTTATTGTCATTGTTTTTTCAAATAGGTTCTATTGGTGAAAAAGTCATTCCTAAATGTGTTCTAAATGATGCTACCAAAATTCTAAGATCTCATAAGATTTTTATATACTTAAAAGGTAGGTTTTCCAATAACTGAAGAGCCAAAGTTTACTGACTAAGATAGAAAAAAAGGGGAAAATTATCTACAGTCTTGAAATTCTTAGAATATATCATACCATATAGTCCATGACATAGTTTTCCTAAATGGAAAGATAAAGAAATAAGAATTGATTCATCTGCTTTGAAAGATTTTTCACAAAATGATTTCACTAATGGAAGTATAGTTTGACTTCTGTCATCTGGAAAACAAAACAAAATAATACATACTTTAATTCAGATGCCCACACTGCACTTGTGGAAACTAATACACACACATATTCCAGAAAGAAAAATTACTATCTTAGCCTAGTTCATAGTAATAGAAAATACCTGAAAGCAATAATGATGGAGGTGGGTGGTAAAAAGGGGTTAAGAGGAAGCTTGAAATGATCGAAAACTTTAATGTCAGGTTAAGGGGTTTGGACTTCATACTGCAGGCCATTGGGAACAGAAAAGAAAGAGTGATTATGAATTAAAAAGCTAAGATGATTGAGGATTTGAGTCTGAATGACTAAAAGAATTCTAACACCATTAGCATAAATAAATAGTAAGCAAAGAAAACTTTTCTTATTCTCTTTTACACACATCTCAGACCATGATGCAGCCCATTTTATCATTTCATTTTTTACTAAAACTACATTAGCTTATAATATGTTCTATATATTGAATTTCATCACTTTTATTTCTTAGCTGACTCTTCTTTAAAAAGTTAACTGATTCTTTGAATACATCTGCTTAGGTCACAAGTATCTGACATACTGGCAATATTTAAGTCTCAATTCTAAATACTCTCCAAATTTCTCACAGTTTTCTTAAATTTCAGAAATGAATCACTTATTGTCTGGAAATACAAAGTAAAATGTTGTAACAGGCTTATGAGTATTATTACTACTATTACTTTTATCATTACATTTCAGCACCTATCTACTATTTTTGTTAAATGACATTCATTCAACACATTGTATTTCTTACAGAACAAGCACTAAGTAGGAGTAGAAATACGAATAATAAATGATCTCTGATTTGAGAAATATAAACCAGCAAAAAAGCCAAACACAAAAAATATAAGATGATATGATCACTGCCTTAATAGTTGGTATAAGGCAGGGATCTATAAGCTTGTTTTACATTTGTTCTAGGTTTTGCAGGCTCTGTCCCAACTACTTAGCTCTGTTCTTGTATCACAAAAACAGCCACAGACAATATGTGAACAAATAAGTATGGCTCTGTTCCAATAAACTTTATTCAAAAAAAAAACAGGGAGCAGGCCAGATTTGGTCTAAAGGCCATAGTTTGCCAATCCCTGGTGTAAGAGATTTAGGAAAAATGTCAGGGAGGAAACTGTATTTGAACTGGGAACTAAGGGAGCAGAAGATGGCGAGGAGAAAAATAGAGGGAAGGAAAGAATAGAGAAAGAAAAAGTATGAAAAAAGACTAGAGGTGTGAAAGAATCTGGTATGCTAAGCAAGTAGGACTGAAGCATCAGACACAAGAGGAGTGGGAAAGAATGGTAGGAAATAAAGTCCCAAACACAGGTGAGATCCAGCTCTGTGATAAATGGGTGTGGGCAGTAAAAGGGAAAAGATCAAAGATGATGGCAAGGTTCTAGTTTGGAGATTGGGGATGCCCCATTATTAGAGGAAAAAAGATTTATTCATTCATTTATCATGTATTGCAGTTTTACTCCTCTCGTTTGTCATATTGTCATATTTGGATTTTGTTCTCCAAAATCCAAACACAATTATTGTCCACATTGCAATAATCTTTAAGAGGCTTCCTAGAATTCAGATAAAACGTTGATAATCCAAGTAAATGTGATATTACGATTACACAATTGAATTCTGCACCTAAGTACTTGACATTTAGCCCTCCAAATTTCACTTACTCAAAATGGTTAATGTTTACTGATAACTAATGACAGCATTAGTCAAGAGTCTAGTCACACATTGAGTAGAGCAGTTACTCTACTCGCTTTGTGACATGATTTGCATAACAGTAAAGAATATCTCTTTACCCTCTCCCACTCAAACACCCCATCCCAAATTTCTCCCCCAATGGCTGTAAGATTTCTAGCATTAAAATGTTATTAAGGAGAGGAAACTCATGTAGACCATATCTCAGGATCTGCCTTCATGTCAATTAGGTGAAAAAGATAAGGCTAACTTCTTAACCCTATACACACACAAGTCAGTTAAGTTTTGATGGGTGAAAAGAGAGATGGAATATGTAACAACACTGTATGCCATGTAGTATGGTTTTAATATGGTCTGTCCCCACCAAAATGCCTGTCAAGGCTTGGCCCCAGTGCAACAATATTAGAAGGTGGAATCTTTAAGAGGTGGGGCCGCATGGGTCCATCCCCTGGCTCCACCCTCATGGGTTGACTGATGAAGTTCCTGTGGTATTAAGTGAGCTCTCCTTCACAAGGGACTAGATTAGCTCTCGTGGGACTGGGTTAGCTCTCTGGAGAGCAGGTTGTTATAAAGCAGGTAAGCCTCCTTTGTCCCCTCTCCCTTTTTCAGGCCTGTTTCCCCTTTCATTTCTCTGACACATTTTGGTGCACCATGAGGCCCTCATCAGAAACAGGACAGATGGGGCCACCTAATTTTGAACTTTCCAGCCTGAGAAAACATTTATGCAGCCAACATACATATGAAAAAAAACCTAATCATCACTGGTCATTAGAGAAATGCAAACCAAAACCACACTGAGATACCATCTCACACCAGTTAGAATGACGATCATTAAAAAATCTGGAGACAACAGATGCTAGTGAGGATGTGGCGAAATAGAAACACTTTTACATTGTTGGTGAGAGTGTAAATTAGTTCAACCATTGTGGAAGGCAGTGTGGCAATTCCTCAAGGATATAGAAATAGAAATATCATTTGACTCAGCAATTCCATTACTGGGTATGTACTCAAAGGATTATAAAACATTCTATTATAAAGACACACATACATGTATGTTTACTGTGGCATTGTTCACACCAGCAGAGACTTGGAACCAACCCAAATGTCCATCAGTGATAGAACGGATAAAGAAAATGTAGCACATATACACCATGGAATACTATGCAGCTTTAAAAAAGGATGAGTTCACTCATAAGTGGGTGTTGAACAATGAGAACACATGAACACATGGAGGGAAACATCACACCCCAGGACCTGACTGGGAGTCGGGGGCTAGGGGAGAGATAGCAGTGGGTAGGGAGACTGGGGAGGGAGAGCATTAGGAGAAATAACTAATGTAGATGATGGGGTGATGGATGCAGCAAACCTCCATGGCACATGTATAACAATGTAACAAACCTGCATCTTCTGTACATGTACCCCAGAACTTAAAGCATAATAAATAGGCCGGGCGCAGTGGCTCAAGCCTGTAATCCCAGCACTTTAGGAGGCCGAGGCGGGTAGATCACGAGGTCAAAAGATCGAGACCATCCTGGTCAACATGGTGAAACCCCATCTCTACTAAAAATACAAAAAATTAGCTGGGCATGGTAGCGCACGCCTGTAATCCCAGCTACTCAGGAGGCTGAGGCAGGAGAATTGCCTGAACCCAGGAGGCGGACGTTGAGGTGAGCCGAAATCACGCCATTGCACTCCAGCCTGGGTAACAAGAGCGAAACTCCGTCTCAAAAAAAAAAAAAAAAAAAGCATAATAAATTTTTTTTTTTAAATGTGAGCCAAAATAAATTCCTTTATAAATTACCCAGTCTCAAGTATTCTGTTATGGCAACACAAAATGGACTATGACACCATGAGGGTAAAAGTGAAAGCCTAGAAGACACCAAAATAGAATGAATCATAAAAAGAGAGCGAGGAAGGGAGGCTTAACATGAAACTTAACATAAGAAATTCTATATCGACTTTTATTCCTTATTAGTGATATAAAACATACGGAAAAACACTGTTTTCAGAAGCAAATATGTATTCACATGATTTACCTGTATCAAATATGTCAAGCAGATTAACCAAAGTTTCAAAAGCTGCAAGTCGTACACTGCTGCCTTCATCCCTAGAAAGTTCTATTAATTCAGGGAGCACCACGCTTTTTGTAAGTTCTGTCCTGCACAATAAGCAATAAAAGAAAATAAATCAAATCAATAAATGTGTAGCAAGAACTTACTAAAAACCAGTGACTGGGATATTTGCTGCAGAAAATACGAAAAATCATAAAGACACTGTCCCTGCTCTCCAGTAGCTTTCAGTCTTATTGAGAAAGCATACCATACACATAAGAAATATTAATAGTAATTTCATAATGATTTAAATCAATCCCACTATCCCCAGCATAATATTGTACCTACAGAGATCTTAGTAACTAGGAGTTTATATTAAACTTTATAAATTATAATATAGTTTTCCATTTTAAGCAAATTCAGCAAATTTTCTGGACTACTTAGAAAAACTTATCAGTATTAACCACAGAAACCCAAATAACATAATTTTATCTAGATTTCAGGATATAAATTATTTTTCCATTCACCTAATACATGACATTACAGTAACTAATTTCTATATACATGATGCTTTATGACTTTACATGGTACACCTAAAATAATTAAACACAATATAAATGCTTTTAGGGAGTATATAATATTTATAATACAATCAAAAATAGTTATTATTCAGCAGTTTGTTTCTACTGATTCCTCATAATAAGGTGTCACTGTAATGACAAACACTCTGATAAAGGAGAGTCTTATGTGGTTAGCTTTCTTGGGTACAAGACGGAAAATGGCATCAATCATAATTGACAAAAGATGTTGATAAGAGTCCAAGAAAGTTATTAAGAGCTGTAGAAAACTTTCTAAAAATTCAGGGTAAAGCTCAAACACTATAAGACAATGCTGTCAAGTAAAACTTTCTGCAATGATGGAAATGTTTATCACTGACTCTTCAATAGGGTTGCCACACGTGGCTATTGAGCATTTTTTAAAATAAGTTTATTATGAATGAGGAACTAAAGATTTAATTTTCTTTAATTTTCCTTATTTTAAACTTAAATAGTCACTTGTGACCAGGGGCTACCATATTAGACAGCACAGCACAAAGACAAGGGCTTGACCAATTGAACAGAAAAAAAAATGTTTCTAAAAGATTGATCTAGATTATATAGATACAGATGTTAACATTACCAGTAGTTCACAAACATTCAGCAAACACAGGATGCAGATAGAGAAGGTAAGAGAGTAAACTATGACAGAACATATCCAAAGGTCATAAAAATTTATTTCATATAAATTTTGCTCAGAATATATTTGTATACCTCCTGAAATCCTTGGATTTATTAATGACAAAAGAAAATAGTTTAAGATAAATAATTTCATCTCTATAGTAAAAGTTACTTTCATTCAATCTTTAAACAGAGTTCTCTTTTTTCAAAAACATGTTATAGTGATGCAAATTCAACTTAATTATCTCTGGGCATTAAAAATGAAAATAATCATAACAAATAACTCTTTCATTAATTGTGTTAAACTTCTAACACAACACTTAAATACTATTTAGCAAGAGTGGAAACGTGACAGATTATACCACCATACCCTGTGTGACAATCTACCATAGCCTGTGTGACATTCTACCATACCCTGTGTGACATTCTAAAGCCTTTTCAGAGCCTTAAATTTGGCCCAGATTTTTAAAAAACTTACAAAGGTACAAATGACCACAATCTGATTGTCCTAGCTTGTTAAACAAAGAATCAGATGAAATCAGTGCAACTTATGCTAAAAATGAGAGGTTCCAATAGTTTTTATACCAATTTTGAACCTTCTTTTTAAAAGAAAAGATTTCCCAATATAGTTTTTAGATAAGACTCCCTTTAATATCATACTTATAAGATTGAAATGAGATCAATTTTTACGGGTGAGGAGATTGGCTGCTATGCCTCTCCTGGGGCTTCATGCACCCGTAGAGCAAAGAGAGCAACGAAACAAACACTGGAAGCCTCAAGCTGCACAGGAGACACAGAAAGGCTTCCATTAGAGTGTAGTCGGCCCTCCACTTCTGTAGGTTCCACATTTGTGGATTTAACCAATGTGGAAAATTCAGAAAAAAATTCTTTACTGAACATACAGATTTTTTCTTGTCATTATTCCCTAAACAATACAGCATAACTATTTATATAGCATTTACATTGTATTAGGTATTAGTGTCTAGAGATGATTTTAAACATGTGGAAGGATATAAGCAAGTCATATGGAAAAACTACACTCTTTTATATCAGAGATTTGAGCATCCTCAGATTTTGGTATCCAAAAGAGGTCCTGGAACCAATCCCCAAAGGATATAGAGGGATAACTGCAATCCCATCTGAAATGACCCAATAATATAGTCAAAGAATTGTCAGTCAAAAGAAATGCGACAATCATATTCCAAGTATGGTTTACACTGGGATATATTTTCTTTCCTGAATCTAGGTGTCTGGAATGATAACTAAGCAACTAAGGTGAGAGTTAACATTAATCAAATGCCTACCACCATGCAAGCACATTCCTCTTTATCTCTTTTAATCCAGACATAGAAGATGTACCTGTTATGATCATTTTTAAAGATCATATAAAATATAGCCTTTCAATGGCATGCTTTCATGGAAATGGCATAGGAGTTCAAAGTATACCTACCCAATGCCCTGAGCTATATTTTCTAATTGCCGACACATACAAGATCGAACTTCATATTCTACATCTTGACAGAGTGATTTTACCAGAGGAAGTATTTCTCGTTTAATGCTGAGAGTGGGGAGAAAAGAAACATGCAAATGAATATTTCAGAATAATATCCTCAAACAATTATCATTAAAATCTTAACCCACCTTAATAATAACAAATGTACTTTAATAGAAAAAATAATCGTTTACAATGTATTTTACATATGTTATTAAATTTGGATGTTATTAGCCACTTGTAAATTATGTATATCACAGAGTCTTTTTAAAATAATGGTTAACTTTGGATTGGTTGAAATGTTCATAGCTGAGATAAAAGGCTGTAGCAGTAGAATATCTGAGTCTGGCAACCATCACCCAAAATATTCTTCACCTTTACTCTTCTATTACAATTATACAACATTCCATTCTTTCCACTTGGTATTTAATAAGTGGGCAAGAAGGAGCATATAAATTATAAACATGTTCCATAAACCTCAAAATAAGTTAAATTACTCAAAATAACAAATTCATAACAATAGTGCAAAAAAGCAGAAATTCTATCTTTATGCTGTTTGCCAATTTCAAAAGTCAAATAAGAGAATGCCATTTTTTCCTCAAAACTACATTTGGTATGAGATAGGGAAGACTAAGGAAGTAGGAAAAAAGTTAACGGATCAATTTTGAAAAGTCATGAGATTGAGAAGAAAGGCCTCTGAAAAAGTAAATTCTGTCATGAGAATTCTATAAATTTAAAATAATGTAGTTAAGATAACTAAATTTGTATACAGTACAAAATAACACAAATATTGCTATACGGTCATTATAATTTTAAGTCAGTGTAATAAAGTAGACCAAAAATTACATACAAATACTCACGTGTGGGCATCAAATTTGTTGGTCAATTTTCCTAAAATTTTACAACTAACTAAACGAGACTGGACTGTTTGAGAAAGTTGTGCCTTGGAAACAAGTGGATTCAAAATCTGAAAAGAAAATTTAGAAAAAAATTCACAAAATTGTACACATTCTTGCCACTCATGTCAGTTATTTCCTTCAGAGTATTTTAATGTTCTGTTTTTAAAGGACCTCAATTATAATTTGAGGTTTAAGACTCAATAACTTGGATCATCTTATTTGTCTTCTGAGTTATCAAGGTAAATATAATGACAAATTATGTAATTAAAACAACTAGAAAAAAACCGAGTTAAAGTTTATGGTGATTTTACAATGCTCTCTATGCACAGATAAAATTATAATTTTGAAATATGTATTATAAAAAGAAAAAAGCAAATTAATGACTGAATACTTGAAATGTATTTTTATTTCATATAGATTTTTATATTTATCCTAATGGGATGAAAACATTATAGCTTCAAATAAATCCTATTAAATAATTCTGTCATTTGAATACAATAAGCCAAGTCCGATCTTGCATTATGTATATACTGGGCACTCAAATACTCCAACAGCCTGACAGACTGTAAAAATGAAGATCAGACCCTGAGATTAGATTACAGTCTCAGCTCTTTAGTTTGTCCAAATAATCCTGCTATTTCTAATCTCCAATTGCTCATCTATTTAAAATAGAAATTAGACTATGTCCTACTAAGATATCTTTAGTTTCTAAAATTATATGACTCATAAAATAGTCAACTGGCTTGTTTCCTCTCAGAGTAGCTGAAATTACTAAATATGTATTGATAATTTAGAAGTGAAAAGTTTAAAATAAGTTACATATTTAAAATCTTTGAAACCACATGTTAAATAATATGGTATTCTAAGGTAAAAACTGCATTATACAGCATACTGCCTTTCAAAAAATATAAAAATCACGTCTATATTATGTTCAACATTTAAATATGTATAATCATCTAGATGTTTGGCATCAAGTATGCAAACATCCTTGTAACTAGAAAATCTTCCCATTTTCAAGCCAGCATTTAAGCACTGCGATAGAACCATAAACGGTATGAAGACAAGGAAAGGACAAAGAAACTTAATGAAGTCAGTAGAGGACATCTCACTGGCTGATAACGCTTTTTTTCAATCACGATATTTGGAAAGAAATATATACAGGAATAATGTTCAAAGAATACAATATCTTTTCATTAGAGGATACACTTCCTTTCCATTTTTCTTCTTCTCTAATTTTAATTTATTTAAAACCTTTAGAGAAGGGTATAGGCAAACATGCTGGGAATAATATTTGTAAGTACAAGAAAGAAAGAATTGGCAACCATAAAAGGTAAATAGCACATATAAATTGTGATTAAAGGATAGGATCAAACAACTGCAAAGGAATAAACAGAAACTGATAAAAATATGAGAAAATATTCAACAGCATAATAATTTAAAAATTCCAATTAAAATGTAATTCCGTTTCTGGCCCATTAAATGAAATAGAAACACTATTGCTGATAAAAGTCTAGGAAAACAGATCTTCACATACTGTTAGTCGAAAGCTTAAGAATATTAATGCCCTCTGATCCATTAATTCCTTTTTGAAAGCTACAATTAAAGAAATTATCTGAAAAACAGGAAGAACTCTACAGAAATGTTGATTAATGCCTTATTCAATAGTAAAATATAAGCTTGAAAACAGGCTTAAATGTTTAACAAGTAAAATATTCTGCAGCTACTATGAAATGAGTTTAAAATAATACAGGAAAATAATGCAAGTAAAAAACAACCATATATAAACTAAATATGATCACCAGAATGGCAAGCAGCAACCATATATAGGAAAAAAATCTGAAAGGAAATACATCAGGATCTTAAAAGTGGACAAGTAACTATGAATTCTTTTCTCTTCCATTTTTTATGTTACTCACATTTTCTACAATGTGCACGTTACATTCAAAATGAAAAAACAATTTTCTTTTTTAAAAAAAAAATTTTGACAATAAACCTTTTTTAAAAACCTTAGAGTGACTTTCTTCCCCACAAAAGTATTACCTCATGCCGTAGGGTTTCTTTTGGCAATACTTCTATAACAGACAGAAGCGTTTCCAGCCATGCATTGCTGACACCTGGTTGGCACAGATAAAACATACTAAATTAAACGTTTCACTTCAAATTCAGTTTCAACTCAGCCATTAATAGTTGCAATAGCACTTAATGATAAAATGGAAATAATTACTTTCATTACTATTCTAAAAAGTTTCTCTATTATTTTGTCTCAGCCAACATCTAAAAAAATTTTGTATTTTTAAAAATAGTACTCGTGAGATATCTTTAAAGCAAGGTTTGCTGTTTTGTTGTACAATACTATAAACATGACTGCTTGAAAAGGAAAAAAAACTAAGAAGAAAGTATAAATCATAAGATCAATTAATGGGGTTTCAGCTTTCAAGGAGATTAAATTTTGTGGGTTTTATAAGAAGATAGCCATAGCTATTTTTAGTCATTCCACTGCTCAACTCCCAGGCAGCACAGACTTAATCAGTTATCCTCATCAGCCTAACAGGATTTATGGAATATCATGGCCATATACAAAAAACAATAAACAAGTATATAATTAAGCATTCCAGGCCCTGACCTGTGTCCCTGTGCTCCAGATGCAGGAGAATGACTTGGAGGAACGAGTGGGTATATGCATGAATTGACACTGACTCATCCTGCAGAATGGTCAGAAATGACACTGCAGCTGTTAACTGCATTTCCACTCCTGCAACATGAAGGGCTTCCTGTATAATCAGAAAGAGTTTGCTGTTTACATAGATGAATCACAAATTGTAATTTTAAAAAATCCAAGGTTATAGAAACTAAACAGTCATACTGCACAAAATTAGACATATGACCTTTAAGGATACGTACTTATTACTTTATTGAAAAGAACTATATTAATATGCTCCTGATCATTTAACTCACTAGACTACATAAAATTTAGGTGTCTCAGGATTTTCTAAGATAAAGTAACATTCCATCGCTTTATTGAATAAAAATTATAACAGTACATAAACCTTTAAGCAACAGTGTAGAAACTTTTGATAGATTTTAATTTCTGTTTTCCTGTTTGGATTGTACAGTTTATCATTCTACCTAGAACAATGTCAAAACTCAATCACATGTGTTTCCATTATTTGTATTTGTATTTCAAAAAATAAACATGATACATTTTACCATAAAAAAGAATACACTTGAGTATGCAAATATATTTCCCCTTTAAACAACTGAAGAGAGCATAAATTACCAGGAAGTAAACCATTTTCAAAAGAAAAATGTTTAAGAATATGCTTTTAAAAAATAATTATATTCATAGCCATCTCCATTCACCATTTGAAGAATTTTTAAATCCATATAAAAAATTAAAGCCTACATACATAGTATGTTTTCAATATACCAAAGGGTTTAAAAAAAAAAAAAAACTATTTTTCTACATAGGCCTCAAAGACAATACCTATACTTCTCTATGACAGACAGAGTGTGTGTACATGTGTGTAATGTAAAGGCAGCTAGAAGTATTACTTGTTCAATCAATTACGGCAATAATGAAAATTCCCTTATATGCCTATTTAAAATAAAGTTAGTAGAACAACCTGGAACTTAGTCATAAAACGAAGTTTCATATCAGTGATCTTAGGAATATTAATCCTTCTGCATTATTTCCTAATGTATAAAATATGAATTACAGCAACATCTTCATAGAGATTTAAATCGTTAAAACAAAACTTTTGTAATTTATCAACCTGTGTAAAATGAATGTTTAAATAATTACTATTGTTTATCCACTGTCTTCTGTCTACATTACCTTTGGATATCTAGTAGGAATCTCATCTTGCTCACACCTTCACTGATCTCTCCTTAAAACCTGCTCCTCCTGTAATCTTCCTCATCCTGATAAATAGTAAATGGTATCTCTGCCCCTCCAGCTGCTCAGCCCAAAAACTATGGGGTCATCCTTAACTCCTCTTACTACCTCACTCCCTACAGTCAAAAGACCAATAAATCCAGAAGGATCTACCTTCAAAACATCCAGATTCTGAATACTATCACCTCTCCTATTACCACCCTAGTCCAAGTCACCATCTTCTCCAGCCTCAATTACTCAAAAAATCCTTAACCAGTCCCTGATTCCAACGCTTCCCTTTACTATCCATTCTCTATACTGTAGCCTGAGAAATTATTTTAAGAAATAAGTCAGATAATATCACTTTTCTGCTCAAAACTGCAACAGGTTTCCATCTCATCCAAAGGAAACGTTAAAGTCCTTTTAATTTGACTTACAGTATCTGTTCTCAGCTCCCCTTTTCCCGGATTTCCATGTGGCTGGCTTCCCTACCTCTTTCAAGCCTCTATTCAAATACTACCTTTTCAATGAGGCCTTTCCTGATGACCCTACTTCAAGCTGAAAGTCACCTTCTTGCCCCAGCTCTTATTACCCCCTTTACAGGTTTATTCATTACCATCCTCCAATACACAATATGTTCATATTTGTTTATGGCTTATCTTTCAAAACTGGACCACAAGCTTCACATATCCCCATCTCCTAGCACACAGCAGGCATTCAGTAAGGAGCTGCCAGGTGACTAAATGTCTCTTACCCTCTCACCTACACTTTCTGCTCTTGAGGCTCTCTCCCTTCACACACATTTTGCACATCTCCCAGAAAGTGGCTTCAAGAGATTTTGAAGTGAGTCCTAAAGATTAGGAATTGGCAGACTTAGAAAGCAAAGCAAAGCAAAAATGGATCACATAGAAATGTATTCTCAATCCTCTTTCTATCATGTCCATACTGCTTTCTTCTATCCTAACATCTCCATAACCATGATTTGGACCTATATACTCAGTCTTCTTGATTCAGCACAGTGGGACACTGCCAGTCATCACAATAGGAGATCACATAGGGATTTCTGCAGCAGAAGAAACAGAATAGTAAAGCACTTTGATAAAGGCCAGTGAGCTAATAAGTGGCAACTCTAACAAACAATTGTCTACCAGATGCCAAAACACTCCTAAGCACTGAATTCTTCCTCACGGATTCTGCATTTCCAGTCATCATTTATTAAGGTCTGACTTAAAGCACTGCTAAGCCTTCATGTGGTGGTGTAGGAGATCTGGCAGTGGCATTTCCTGTGGCAAATGTCTAAGTGCTATGCTTAATTGCCAGAAAACCTATCACCTATGAGAGTGGCTGATTTTTGTTTTATTCTATACTTTTGTATCACACACACAAAGATTATTTTACAGGTTTTTTTCAGCCAAAAGTCAGTTACATATCGTGAGAGTTCTTGGCCAAGAGAAAGAGAAAAAGAATGTTAGAGTATAAAGCAGAAGCAGCAATTGGTCTCTGAAATCAATCCTTCCATACTCCTTTGTTTTACTGTTCCCAAAAGAAACATTTGTTCCGCACTAACAATTTTGGGTTTGGAAAACAGTTTTCAAAGATTTGATGTGGCCAGTATACATCACTTACAGGTTTCAGAAGGCACAGTTTTTATTTAAAAACAGAAAGGACTTTGCAAAGAAATATTAAAATAAATTGTGAGGGCCACAAGGTACATTCCAGTTCACATGAGTCTGTTAAATTCCAAGAGTTGAAATTCTGTCCCCTCTTAAAGTCATTAAAGTCCTGGGTTTTTTTATGTATGCAAACATTATACAAAAGAAGAACAGGAGAAGCTCTCCAACTTCATATCTTCTTACTGTATTACTTAGTCTTGACTCCCGCAGCAACATTTGCCCCAACTATTTTGCATTTAATTTTCGAAAAATCCTCAAGTCTTATCAGGATTTGGGTTTTTCTCTTGTTGTGCTGACTTCAACATCAGGGACTGTCCACTGTTAAGAAACCAGCACAGACTAAGAGATTTCATCACTGCTAAAAATTAACTGATTTTCTAAACATATTTTTCTGAAACATAATACAATAAGAGTTCAATACTTACCAGTAAGTGTTCTCTTCCACAGAGTCACACCCTCTGGACAAACATATGTGAGATCCATACTCTCTGGATAAATAAGTGTGCATCCTCATGGACCTTGGAAGACACTGAAAAGTAAATTCCTCTATTGCTTAAGTGCATGCCTTAATGCCAGTTACCATTCCTCTTACATTACTATTGTACAGCTGGCATCCCAAATTGAATTCCTCAAAAATGAAATGAGACATTAAAAGTTAATGGTACATTTCCAAGTTTTAAAAACTGTACCCATTCAAGGAAGGAAAGTGTACTAGACATGTCTGTGTTTAAATTCACTCTTTAGTTGGTATGAGTGGTGCAAGAAAGCATTTTGTAAAACAACCTAATACATTCCTTGCAGAGAGAGAAATAGCTCTGTCTCCAACACGCCTATATTGTATCCATCAGGAAGATATTTCTCCTTACAATACACATAGAAAAGCATTAAATAAATCATTGGCTTTCTTCAAAAGAGTGAATGTTTAAGATTCACAAATTCTGAAAAGAATCTTCTTGAATAAAACTGAAAAATGTATTTATCATGAATAGTGCTAGTAAAAGGTAAAGAAACTCTAAAATTACAAAATATCTGTGTATTTTTAGAGAGAGCACTGATTATTGTGAAATTAAATAATAAAGACTTCCATATTAAAATACTGAAGGTCTGGGACATATAAAATATCTGGGGCACTGAAGATCATAATGTGAGAATTTTTAGTAATTAACATAATAGTGTAACAGCTCTCTGCTTTATATAATCATAATATTTATAAAAGACTTTCAAATAGGTTAAATACGAATAACAGAAATACGCCAGTCCTAAGATACCTTTAATGATTATACCTTATTATTTTCCCTATCCCTGATTGCCACATGCCACCACTAAAATAAAGAGTGAAGAAAACTAGATGAGATCACTGAAAACCAAAATCTGAGGGGGAAAATGAAGTGAAGACGGTAAACAGAAATAACAAAGGGAGGTATGTTTTACCATTCCTAAGCCTGCATTTCAGTGATTAGCAAGGTTCGTGAAGAGGTACACATAAAAATATCCTTAAGAACTCTTTCCATAAAGGAAATACCAATAGTATCATAAGACTATTGCAAATGTACAATAAAATACGCTGTCATGCAAAATCATAAGAATGCCAAAACAAATAAATTTCAAGACCACGGTTTTGCAACTGAGCTTTCTAGCTGAAATACTCTGCTAAGTCATTTTTAAATATCATAAATTAGAATTACAGGAATTTCAAAATTTAGGCTTAAAATATTAATAAGCAGCAATTTAAAACTTTGCAAAGGAAGGATGTGCTTTTCAAAGAAATATCATTTTAATGGATGTGACAGCTATAAAGAATCATTCCTTCCGAATGATTCACTGTAGTAATATTTAACTAATTAAATGTTTTTTCCAAAAATTATACACAGTTCTCTTAGAAAAAAATCAGCCAGGGAAAGTCTAGCAAATATCTATAAGCAAGAGGAAACAGGGCTTTTTTCCCCCAAGTCAGTCATAATACTTTCACCTTCTATCCTAATCTCTCTCAAAAGTAGCCCAAAGATATCTAATTCTGAAGGTAACATAATTTTAATTTCATTCAAGTCCCAGCATCATACTATGTACTCTGGGAAATTGGAAAGAAGTCAAGATAAGAATCTCTACCTTTGAGTGATTCCTGTTGACTATATGTGCTCACTCAAATGCTCAGTTATGTTCAAGGCACTGTGCTAGAGACCTAGAAACCCAGCAACCAGCAGCATTAACAATGTACAGACACCTA